AGCAGGAATTACCACAGCCATGTTATTCAGACGCAGCCCATGGACCTATGTGTTTTGTGGTTGGTCATGCTTCTGAAATTAAGCGTTTTGATTACTTCCTTACAGCAATGAGGGTTTGGGATCCAGGGGAGGACTAAAAATAAGTGACTTGCAAAGGATCGTAGCTGCTAAGATTTCTCTCTCTCTCTCTTTGCTTTGTTTTATGTGTTTTAATTGTGGTGGCAAAAAAATAATAACTGGTTGCTGAACCTTGCAACGTGTAATTGAATACCAGATAGAATGTGGAATAATGTCAGGAAGCACGGAAGACAAATGTAACTGGAGGAAAATGCCTAAGGCAAACTAACCTCTCCCTTTCTCGAATGCTGCACTGCATTAGCGAGTAGGGTAAGCCAACTCCTGCGAAGTAAATTCCTAGACATTTGGGGGCAGTGCCTAGGGAGGGCAGGATTTGGAGAGCGGGGGGAGCTCAGTGAGGATGTGATGTTGCAGAGTCTACTCTCTGCCATTTCCTCCAGGAGAATGGCAATCTGGAGAGCAGCTTTAATTCTAGAACTTCGGGCCCTACCTGGAGATTGGCAGCCCGAGCTGCCAGAAGAATTCCTAGCTGTTTCAGGAAGACTCATAATCTTAAGTATTTTCTAAGGGTGAGGACTAGTTAAAGAAACCCAGGTGTAGAAAACCTTTACTGGGGTTTGTGAGGACCAAGAAAAGCTGGAGGAATTCTTCGTTTAACCTCACAATGTGTTTCTTATTTTGAAGCTCTTCCAGTAGCATCCATGATCAGAGGTGGGACGGTGGATTTAGTGGGAAAAGAAAACTGTCTTTTCGTGTTGCACGCGAATGCTCATACCCTGAATAAAACTCTGTTGGTCTTCAAGGTGCCACTGGACTCAAACTTTGTGTTGCTAATGGTGATGGGCTGAAGAGAAACTGCAAATGTATCTGTCAAAGGGAAAAGTGTATTGTGTACGAATGCTCATACCTTGAATAAAACTCTGTTGGTCTTCAAGGTGCCACTGGACTCAAACTTTGTGTTGCTAATGGTGATGGGCTGAAGAGAAACTGCAAATGTATCTGTCAAAGGGAAAAGTGTATTGTG